TTTTTTTTTTAAGATTTTATTTATTTATTTGACAGAGAGAGACACAGTGAGAGAGGGAACACAAGCAGGGGGAGTGGGAGAGGGAGAAGCAGGCTTCTTGCTGTTCAGGGTGCCCGATGCGGGGCTCGATCCCAGGACTCTGGGACCATGACCTGAGCCGAAGGCAGACGCTTAATGACTGAGCCACCCAGGCGCCCCTTTCTATTTTTTAAAGTTGAGGTATTTACAGAGAGTGAAATGCACAGATCTTAAGTGTGCAGTTCAGTGAATTTTGACAAATAATACATATCCATGTAACCAACAAGCAAATCATGATATAGAACATTTCAAATGATGGGGAAATGATTTTTCTTTGTGTAATACTTTGTTTTTAAAATGGTACTCATGTTAAAATGTTCACAGAAGTTCAAAGAAAAGAGTAAAACTTTGTCAAAACCCCAGCACGCAGAGATGGCTCTGAGTTTAATGGTTTGACAAATGTCACATCCTTCCAGATAGCACTCTGTGCAGATCCTTCTCTCCATCTCTCTCTCATACACACACACACACACACACACACACAACACACACACATACACACACATACACACACACACACACACCCCCCATACACCCCTTCCTAAATAGGTGATGCCACTTGCATAGGGAGACAGCAGAGGAGTTGGGATCAATGGCTCTGAGTCAACCTGGCTTCCAGGCCCAGCTCCACCATTTTTCTAACCATGAGGACTTGGGCAAGTGACTTTTCTTTGATCCTCAGTTTCCTCATCTGTGAACAGCATAATGATAGGACTTTTCTTTGAGGTTGAGAAGAGTCAGTGAGGCCCGCGGTGCTGCAGAACAGTGCTAACAGGTGATAGCTATTGCTTTGATAGTAGCCTTCCATCTTAAGGACCTAAGGTGTTTGAATGAGTCCTGACTAAAGTGCCTGAAGGTTATTTCCAGCCACAGCTATGACAGACACTCTTGACTGCGTGGGTCTTCCTGGAGCCAGGATCACCCCTCAGGGTTTCTAGGGCCCTTCCCTCCTTGCCTCTTTGCCCCTTCTCTCTCATTCTTCTCAGGCTTCCTTACCTGAGCTTCCTGACTTGTCTTAAGGAAGGTCCAGTTCGTGATGGGATTGGGTGGGCATTGCCCCTGGCAGAGGGCTCCTCCAATACCTGGGACAGTTGTATCTTCCCAGCATCCATCCCTAACTCCTAATACATGCTCTTGATCTTGCTTCTAGGAGCTGGACATGTCCCCTGGGGACCCCAAGTGGCTGGATGTCATTGAACGTGATCTGCACCGGCAGTTCCCTTTTCATGAGATGTTTGTGTCCCGGGGAGGCCATGGGTGAGCAGGCTGGATCTTATGGGCTGGAGGTGATTCTGGGCCCTGTCCCTCAGGGCGTGGAGGATGTAAAATGAGTTTGGGTGTATCTCAGGGGCCCAGAAACTGGGAGCCCCAAACTCCACTGTTAGAGTTTCCCTTTGGTTTGAATCGGATGGGTCTCCTTAGCTTCTTCTCTTACCTTTGGGGCAACTTTCATTTACTCCCCAGCGTGCTAGAGCTTGCTGGGTCCTCTTCTGGAAACAGGTTTTGGTGGGGAGAAAGAGGGTTAGAGATAACTGGGTGGGGAGAAGGTATGTAGGAGGGGAAAGATAGGCAGGCCAGGCCAGAGGCCCAAGACAGACACTTGGGACAAAGCTATCTGGCCAGGGAGACACAGCTGCTGAATGAGAGGCCCACACTTCCAGCCCTGACATACTCTTACCTTGTATCTGGCATCCTGCCTGGCTCTCCCTCTGCTTTCTCTTTGAGCCTCTGCTCTCAGCTGTCATATGGGGTGGGGCAGGGGAGGTGCCCTCCCTGCCTCCTCCTCTGGTCTTGTGAGAGTCTGAGTGCTGCAGTGGGAGACCAACCCCTTGCTGACCATAGTTAGGTCACCAGGGAGGTGCAAATTCTGAGACAGGTCTGGTCTGGTAGGGGGTGGCAGAGTCATACCTATCTTCCCTGCCCCACTTGGCCCTTCTACAGCCAGCAGGACCTATTCCGTGTGCTGAAGGCCTATACCCTTTACCGACCTGAGGAGGGCTACTGCCAGGCCCAGGCGCCCATTGCCGCTGTTCTGCTCATGCACATGCCTGCTGAGGTACCACCAGGCCCTGGACGGGTGAGTGGGTGGGCAGGGAATACCCAGCAGCAAGGCCTCATGTCTCTCTCGCCCATAGCAAGCCTTCTGGTGCCTGGTGCAGATCTGTGAGAAGTACCTGCCTGGCTACTACAGTGAGAAACTGGTGAGTGCTTGCTGGGTCCAGACCAGGCCTGGGACCTTCCCTTTGTGGCCTGTCCAGGCTTTTCTCTCCACAGCCACTGTTGCCCCAGCTTAAAACCTTCCCAGACTTCTGTTGCTTTCAGGTTGAAGACCCAAGGCCCTCCAAAGTGAGGTCTTCTAGGCTCCAGAGTTATCGGTTCCACCCTGGCCTCCATGGCTGCTTCTAGCCATCTGGCTGCTTGGCAGGATCACAGTTCTTCCAGTGCACCAAGTTCCTCCCTGCCTCAGCCTTGAGGCTTAAACCTCTACCCCCTTCATTCCCATAATAACCCCTCCTTTCCTTCAGCTTTCAGCCCTCAGGGAGCTTTTTGTGACTCTGACAAGTGGGACCTCTGGCACAAGCTAATCCAGCATTCCTGGTTCTGCCATATTCTGGGCACTTAGCCACCTCCCCCACCAATGCCCACCCTGTCCCCCGTCTCTTTGCCCCTGTGATTCATCTGTCTGCCCCTTTTCACTACATGCTCCATGAGGTAGACCAACTGTGTGTGGTTTGCTCTTCAGTGTATCCCAGCACCCAACTCAAGGTTGGCTCCCTGCAGGCAGTAGCTGCCTGAGGGATGAACGAATGCCTGCCTGGTACTGGGAGCCAAAGTGTCGACTACAGTCCTGGCCCCACGGCCTCACTGTGTCCCCAGGAGGCGATCCAACTGGATGGGGAGATCCTCTTCTCCCTGCTGCAGAAGGTGTCACCCGTGGCGCACAAGCACCTCAGCCGGCAGAAGATCGACCCGCTGCTGTACATGACAGAGTGGTTCATGTGTGCCTTTGCCCGCACCCTGCCCTGGAGCTCCGTGCTTCGCGTCTGGGATATGTTCTTCTGTGAAGGTACTGGGCTGGGCTTGGGGGAACAGCCCTGCCTCTAACCCAGCCCATAGGGGGCCTCTATTTTCAGAGAAACTCCTTACAGGCCCTTTTACCACCCCCTCATGCAGGAGTCAAGATCATCTTCCGGGTGGGGCTGGTGCTGCTGAAACATGCGTTGGGCTCCCCTGAAAAGCTCAAAGCCTGTCAGGGCCAGTATGAGACTATCGAGCAACTGCGGAGCCTCAGTCCCAAGATCATGCAGGAGGCCTTCCTGGTCCAGGAGGTACGGCCCACACCCTCCCATCACCCCTGGGTGGGAGTGGGAGACGTGGGGGCCCTTTAGAAGGGGCCTGGTAACTCTCTGCCCCAAAGGTAGGTTACTGGTGCCAGGCCTGGTGCTCAGCAGCTCAGGATGGTGTGGGTAGACCTTATCCTCCTGTCTTAATGAGAAGACAGAGGCACAGAGAGGCCTAGGTTTGCAGGGCCTTCCCTGTTCTGAACCACTTGGGAATGAGAGGAGCTGCAACTCATCACCCTCTCTTCTTTCCTGTACTGCATCCATGGCCTTGGCTTTATTTTCCCTTTTTTCTTTCCTTTGTGGGTTTTTGTCTCTCAGGGACTGTAGTTAGGTGACACATAGTTAGGCAAGTGGACTCGAGTTGTGGGCAGCTTTCTCCTTTGAGGCAATGGGTCCCAAGTGCCTGGCTCACCTGGCACTCGGCTCTGGGACTTGTGATCACCACAGGGACCAGACCCCCATTATTTCTAGGGTCAGCCTTTAGTGACCAGGGCTGGGGGATGGTGAGGGAGAGCAGGGCCAGGTTGGGAAGTAGAGGGGAAGTTTCTTCCTGGTGCCCATCTTCCTGTCACCACCCACACAGGTGGTAGAGTTGCCGGTGACAGAGCGCCAGATTGAGCGTGAGCACCTCATTCAGCTGCGGCGCTGGCAAGAGACCCGGGGTGAGCTGCAGTGCCGCTCTCCACCCAGGCTGCATGGTGCCAAGGCCATCATGGAGGCGGAGCCAGGCCCCTGGCCCACCCTGCAGCCTTCACCATCCATCCGCCTGCCCCCAGATGCCCTGCTCCCTGGCTCTAAAGGCAAGCCCAAGCCACCCAAACAGAGCCAGAAGGAGAAGGAGCAATGGAAGCAGGCAAAGGCAAGCGGGCAGCTGGATAAGCCCCCAACCCCAAGTCAAGCCAAGGTGGCAGCCGCTGCAGGAGATGCATGTCCCCCACAGGATGTGCCCCTGAAGGATCCAGCCCACCAGGACCCAGCCCCGCAGGACTCAGCTCCCCAGGATTCAGCGCATCACCGCTCCCAGGATTCAGTCCACCACCACTCCCAGGAGAGCCTGACATCCCAGGAGAGTGAGGACACCTACTTGTAACCCTGGCAGCTCAGGCCTGTGGGGTGGGATCTCCACACACCTACACGGCTCACAGACTGACATTCGAGGGCCTGCCCATGCTCTGAGGGCCCAGCTGCCTGGCCACTGGGTGGCAGAGAGTCTGGCTGGCCCAGCACAGAGTCTGCCTGAGCCTTTTTATTTATTTTCTCCAGAGTGGAGCATGGGCCAGCCCAGCTCGGTCAGACAGAAGTGAGGGCCAATGGTCAGGGCCTCACTCAGCCCCCTCCTCCTGGGGGGATGCTTCCCAGGGCTAGGGTGCTGTTGTGAGGAGAGAGGGTGGGGTAAAAGGTGGGGTGCTCTTTGTGTAAAATAGAAACATGGTTTTGTACAGAAATAAACAGGCTTGTGTAGAGAGTTGGTGTATGGCTAGGGACTGGGAAGGGGAGCAACCCCTGGTACTCAGCATCTCTTCTCTCTACCCTACAGAGCCCCCATCCTGGCCCCAGCCAAGCACTAGAGCCTCTCTGAGAAGTACCTTTGCCATAGGCCAGTCCTTGTTCCTGACCCCCACTTCCGCTTACCCCATCCCCTCTGCCCCGTGTCCACCAGTCTGCCATGGATGAGGGTCTGCTTCCCAGGCCTTGATGCCTACCCATCTCTGGGGGCAAGGAGAGGAGGTTTCCTTAAGGAGGCCTTTTCAGGGTCTTCCTCCACCAAGTCCCCTTGCCTAGATGCCACTTCAGACCCCAGTAAGGTTCTGAGTGTTCATTTTGGGTTGAGTGCTGGCATCAGGAGTCGGGGACCATGAATGCCCTTACATGCTAAGTCCAGGCCTCCATTGGACACAGAGGGATGAGGGAAGAAGTTTGGGTCTTTAATAGAAGGCTGCCTGCAGTTTCCTGAGCACTTACACGCTGGGCTGGTTGTGTCACCAGCTGATCAGGTAGGCTCTATTATCCCCATTTTACAGATGAGGAAACAGAGGAGCTGAGTGGGAAAGATGAAGCTGGTTGATTTGCACCTAAAACCCCTTAGCTACCTCTCCTGACCAGGGTGCCTGGTGACCTGGCAATGCCCCTTAGGGCCCAGGCGGTCACAACCTGATGACTGGTGAGGGTGAGGACAGGGTGTCCCTGGGAAAGGCCCCCCCCCTTCTGCTGAGGAAGCAGCTTTTCCAGTCAAACAATAGTGGCTGTTCCTGGCAGGCTACCAAGCTGGGCTGGGCCATGGTGGAAGGGGGTGGGAGAGGGAGGAGAACTCCCTAGGAGTTTTCAGGCATCACAGAGCCTGGGCCTGGAACATCTTGTCCTGGTACAGCTGGGGATACTGAGGCCTAGGGAGGTCAAGTGTCATATGAGCCTATCAGGGCAGGCTACCCACTTCCTGCCTCCCACCTCTCACCCCTGTATTTTCCCACCCCATCTGTACCTGCCATGAGAGGCTTTAAGGACAATCCCCTCCCCCTGGCTCTCCAGGGGACAGGCCAGGATGTGGCAGCTGCAGTGTTCCACAGGAATCCCTTGAGCCAGAGAGTCAAGGGAGGGAGGGTGCTGCCCAGCTTCCATCCGCCTACAGTAGAGGTTCTTGAGCAGGCAGGAGGCTTGTGTAGGCCTGCTGGGTCCCAGTCAGGCCTGTGGCCGGCTTTAACCTGTTTGGTTCCAAGCCTTAGATCTGAAGCCTGAGGGCCAAAGGCCCTCCAGAGCATGCTCTGTCTGTCCTGCTACAGGGCCAGCCTAGGTGTGCTGATACCTGCTTAGCCTTGGAGTCTTCTTAAACCTGAGGCGGCCTGAGCAGAACCCAGTTCTAATGTTGAAATGAGCCCAAGTTGGTCTAACAAGCCTCAGATCTGGGGCATCTGCCAGTGCTGGGGGCCTCCGTGGGCATGAAGCAAGTTTACATGTGCTCAGGCCAGCTGGGTTCTGCTAATGGCTGCAGGCTTTGGGAGGCCTCAACAGGGCTCAAGTCTCAGGTCTGAGATCTGACTACCCAGTGAGCCCCAGACACATGGGCCTGTCCCCTGAAGTCTGGGCCTTGAGCATCCCTGGCCCAAGCACTTAGTCTTGAAGGATCTCAAGCCATAAGCCTGGCCACCTCCATCCCCTACCACGCAGTATGTTATTCAGATGTAAGTGTCTGGGGCCCTCCCTATCACTGTGATCCTCCTGGGTAGGCGCCTTCTTCCTCCATAAGGGGAAGGAGGGAGAAAGGTAAGACACTGTTGGGAGAGAATCAGAGTCACCGGGGCTGCACAGCCTACTCCTACCCCTCCATACTCCAGAGTTTTCTGGTCAGCACTCTGGTCCCAGCTGAGCCCCCCGGTTCGTCTCGCGGCCCTTCGAAGCTTCAAGGATATCAATCATAAGACTGAAGGACAGAAGCCATTCCACACTTCCCTCCTCCACATCGGCTTCCGATCCCAGTGAGAGAGGAGACCTGCGGAAAAGGCGGAGCCCCAGAGAGGGGGCGCGGCATGGGCGGGGCCTGGAGGGCTCCAGCGGGTTGGGATCAGCCTGTGATCCCCGAGCCAATGCTAAAGGGGCGGAGTCATTAGAGGCGGGGCTCGGCGGGCTGGAACGGGAGGGATGAGGCGCTGACCTTAAGGAGGAGGCGTGGCCACTTTGGATAGGCTGCCCGCCCCTCAGGGCGTGGCTGTCAGGGAAGTGGACGCGGCGTGGGGCTGGGAGGGTCCGCAGCGTAGCTGGCGGCATGGACGCGGCCGCGCAGCGGCTCCTTTAAGCTCCCGGCACCGCCCCCACCGCCCCGCCCCCGGCGGCGGCCTGGGTCTAGTAGGCGGCGGGGTCGGGTCCGCGCGGACTGTGATGGAGCTGCACATCCTAGAGCACCGGGTGCGGGTGCTGAGCCTCGCCCGCCCAGGTCTCTGGCTCTACACCCACCCGCTCATCAAGCTACTCTTCCTGCCCCGCCGCAGCCGGTGCGCGCCCGGGTTCGGGGGCACAGGTGGGGGTGGGCTCCGCTGTTGCTCCGGGACGGGGTCAGCAGATTAACATCGCCGCGGGGCGAGCGGGAGCGGGTGGGGGGGGCGCTTCTCCTCCCTACCCCCCCCCCGCCGCCATCCGGCTTGGGCCTACCCTCCCTGGGACCGCCGCCTATCCGGCCCCGTGAGGCCCCCTCCCAGGGCCAGTTAAGGCGCAAACAACCTGGGATGAGCAATGCTTAACTCCAAGTGGTGTCAAATGGGGGCAATTCCTTCAACTGGCGACTGCGGGGAGCTTCTTCCAGACGCCTCCCATCGGGTCAGAGGAGCTGGTCTAGGGGGCCCAAAGTCCGACGCCCCCAGGGCTGTAGTCGCGGGTGAGCCTCTCCTCCTTCCCCGAATGGAGGGTCGGGAGTTCCTACAGAGGTCGGGAGGCGAAAAACAGTTCGTCATTCCGGTGATGAGGCCCACACCCCACTGGCCCGGTGAGAAAATTGAGGCTTGAGGGGGCAGGGAGGCGCCCAGCAGGAGTGTTTCTGGGCGAACTGGAGCGAAGTCCTGCCCGCCCCCTCCGCCCAACCCAGGCTGAAGATGCCCCCCACCCCCATCCAGGTGCAAGTTCTTCAGCCTGACGGAGACCCCAGAGGATTACACGCTCATGGTGGACGAGGAGGGCTTCAAAGGTGGGGGCTGGGCTGGGGAAGGATGTCGTGCTCCCCTCTTTGTGGGATTCTCACTAGATCCTGGGTTCCAAAATCGCAAGAGCTGGGGCCTTGAAGGTAGATGGGTCTGGGTTCGAATTCGACTCTGCCATTGACTGGCTGTGTGCCCTTGAGCAAGTCACTTCCTCTTTGTAAAATGGGTATAGTTATGGTTCTCTATTAATAGGGTCCCATGAGAACTTTATAGACAGGGCTGTGAAGGGCACTTAGCAGCCTCAGGCCAGTGGCAGGGCCTCAGTGACAGTTCAGGGCAAGAATCAGAGGTTCCTGTGGCAGTTATATCCCCCTGGCCATTATTTCTCCCTGGACTTATCTCTCTGGTGCTGATCACCCCCTCCCTGGCTGGTCTGGGAACTCCAGGAGTCTGAGGGTTGGGAAAGGAATGCAGGAGCAGGCAGCCAGCCCACGTCAGGGTCCTGGGGGGCCTCCTGGCTGCAGTTGGGAGATTAGCAGCCACCCAGGCCCTGGCTCCTGCTCTGGACTGGACGCCAGCCTGGTTCCTCCCTGGTCCCTGAAGCTGACATCTGGCTCCCGCTCCTGCCAGCCTGACCCCTCCTCACAGGCCTGGAGCCTCAGGCCACAAAACTGAGGCTTGGCCCATCCTCTACTGCAGCCCTTCAGGCCTTCGTTTCCCTGTTTGTACTGCAGGAAAGTCTAGGTCTGCCGAGGGAGAGGGGCATCCCTCAGCTAGCCTTATTTGCTGGCGCCCCCTGGTGGTGCCACATGGTATAAAAACCTCTTAACCACGGAACGCTATCATGAGGTATATGCTCTCATCCCATTTTACAGATGAGGAAACAGATTCAGAGAAGTTAAATTGTTTACCCCAGGTCAACAGCAAGTAAATGGTGAAGCTGGGATTTGAACCCAGGTCTGTCTGAATCTGGAGCTCCAGTCTTAACTGGGAAGTTTCCATCCCTAGCAGGCCAGCACCTGAAGCACTTCTCAGTCCTTGCATACATGCAGTTCTTAGGAGCAGAACTGGGGAGAGGGAGACAGCCCCAGTCTCCACACCCTTACCTTGGTAGAACCCCATCCCCCACCCCCAGCACAGACAAACGAGGGGTAGGGGCCAGCCCCATAGGCCCTGACCTGGTGTATACTTCCTACTCGCAGAGCTACCCCCATCTGAGTTCCTTCAAGTGGCTGAGGCCACATGGCTGGTGCTGAACGTGTCATCCCACAGCGGTGCAGCTGTGCAGGCTGCTGGGGTCACCAAAATTGCCCGTTCAGTCATTGCGCCATTGGCGGAGCACCATGTGTCTGTGCTGATGCTGTCCACTTACCAGACGGACTTCATCCTGGTGAGTTTTTGGCAGGCTCCAGTGCGGGGCAGGGTGGGCATGCCTGGGGACTCATGTGATACGTCATCCCCCTGTGGTCCAGGTGCGGGAACAGGACCTGTCCGTGGTGATCCACACGCTCTCCCAGGAGTTCGACATTTACCGAGAAGTGGGCGGGGAGCCTGTGCCTGTTGCCAGGGATGATTCCAGCAATGGTTTTCCCCGTTCTCAGCATGGTGAGGCTACCCTCTGAAACCCAGATCTAGGCAGGGCCTCCTCTTCCCACTGGGGCCCTTCCCTTGTGAGGGCTGGTCTGTGGGCGTGATACCAGCTGACACTGACTGCCTCACAAGATAGGGAGATGTGGTGGAGGAAAGAGGTGGGTTCCTGTAGAGCCTGACCCTACACCCCACCCAGGCTCCTCCCTGTCTGGCCACCAGGGGGCGCCCCAGCCCACAGTCGCCCTGACAGCTG